AAAGCACAGAAGTCTCTCAAACTGTAAATATTTAAAAATAAAATTAGACTCATAAGAGATAGGTCTAAGATGCATAAAACTTACCCAAAGATATTAATCTCAGGCAACATTTAAAAGCTATTATCCACAAAATAATTTATGCCATACGCCTTAAAACTGAAAATAAAAGAATGATTTCCCCTCTTTCTATAATCAGAAGTGGCACATTCAAATAACATACCAAATGCTATGTCCAAGCTGATTGCTCACCATTTTGGAAACTCCTCAGTTCATATGGAAATAAAACATCAGTGGTAGAAAAAAAGGTGCCGATAGAATGGAGAAAGCTGTGCTTCCTAATGTTAAACAGACTACCTTCATGGAACAAAAAGGCACCGTCTCCTCCAAGGAAGAAGTATAAAACAACTGAATCACTTACTGAAAGTACGTGGGGTATTAACTGGATGGGACTTATTCTGACCTTTTTCAATCTATTATTGCTAATTTTAAAGTCATCAGTCTTCCTTAATTACTGCCTACAAAGATCATATCAGATGATATTTTAAAAATTATTTAAAGAATATGGTTAGGTGCTTTTTGATAAGTATGGTACAAAATTCAGTATGCTTCCTGAGGTTCAGGGGTTCCTGTAGGAAATCAGTTATGTATTCTCTGAGTCATATTTTGCCTTCTTGCTATTAATTTCACCTCTTTTCTTTACACTTATCCAGTGCTTATACTAGGTGCACAGGGGTATCAGTGAAGAAACTGACTTTTAATTAGGAATTCCGAGCGCAGCCCAGATTCACGCTCACCCTTTGTTACACCATGCCAGACACAACAGGAACTTCTATTCTTCTGACCAAGACTTACAGTATCAGAATACCCAGAAATCAGTCCAAGACACAAATTATTTTCTATCCATTCTGCTTCACCTTTGAATCAGTTGCTAGTCTGAATGGCTCAGAGCTAATTCTCCTTTTTTTGTTTTGCATTCTTGGACAGCTATTGCAAAAAAAGAGAGCAGAACTGGTGATAAGAAGGTGCTGTGAATTCTCTCCAGCACAACTGGATAACATTTATCTGTGCTGTTGGGACTCCTTGCCTCTTCCATCCAGGCAACAAAAAAGCTCTTCCACGGCAGATCTTGTGATGGAGAGTTGCACAGATCAAACCGTGGTGCTCAAGAACAAGTTGAGAGAAGGCAGTCCCACAGCATCCTTCTGCTGGCAAAATACCGTATTTTCCACCAGAAAGAGACGCGATATTTACTGCTTGTCAACTGAACAGCACCTTCGCTCTGCAGCTGTAACCTCCTCCAGCAAGATACACAAGTGCAAGGATCAGAATCAACGACAACGCTGCTAAATTGCCTGGAGGAAAGAAGAAGAGGATGAAGGAATGGTCTCCGCAGGGGCGAGGAGTGCCCAGGTCCACCAGCAGATATCCGGGATCTCTTGCCTCGCTTCTCCTGGTCGCAGCTCCCTTCCCCCCCTGGCTCCGACTCAAACCCTTCTCTCTTGATCTGCTCCCCTCCCCCTGAGATTTGCCTTTGAATTATGCAAGCTTTGCACTCCCCAGGGTTTATCTGCCAAAAGGTAGCATGTGGCCCATGGTTTGCATTTTAGTTTCAAATTTTCTATTATAGCAGTCAGATCCTTTCAAAATACTTTACTTCCTTTATTCCCATAGGCAGAAAGAATGGCAGGAAAAAATTGTTCACAGCAGTACGAGAGGATGTAAAAGTTCTACATTTTCAGTTAAAAAAAAAAAAAAGTTGGAATATGGTTTTAATCAAGTAGTTTTCCTTCCTAGACGAGTGCTTCCTTCTTGTAATATATATAACCTGACTGCCTATAAAAATAAAGGTGCCGGTTGGAGCCATTTAGGAGACCTAAGGAAATTCTGCATTAACCTGAACTCCTCCACTCCTCAGTTCCTTCCACCATTATTCTGTGTGTGGCCTCTGCTGATGCGCTGGGTCACCTATATCCATACATAGATCTGCGAAGATACTTCAGGAACACGTGCGTTGGAGGCTTCTCGTTACTGATGTGGTCCAGGCTCAGCACAGACCAGCGAGGTGGAGAAATTGCCATGGTTTAAGCACACACTATTATTTCCATATGATACCTAAGCCTTAGTAACTTGCAAATCTTGGAGTATACAGAAGCTTCTCTTTGGTTTAGGTTTGCAAATAAAAATATATTTTCTCCTACAACTGTCAAGATCTAAACACCCAATCCCTGAATATTATTGAGAATGTTGAAAGCATCCTTTTTGAAACCAAGGAATCCATAGTAAAAATTCCAGTTTAATCGCTGCCTAATAAACAGATACTAAATCTCTGGTGTCATGCCTGCTTAAAAATACACTTAATTGTCCAGATCAGAAACTCATTTGGCCTCTAACCAGGAATTTGGTGGAGAAAAGAAGAAATATTTTCTGGCAAGCTGACTGAAGGAGAAAAATAAATGCTGATTGAAGCTGCTCAGCAGTACAGAACGTTAGCGCAGGTCCTCAGGGAGATGGATTAGTAAGCAGGAAGAAGGTGAGGCTGTCAAAGGTGCATGATAAATTCATTTAGCACACAGATATAGAATGATTATGCACATAGATATACACACAACCAGGTTTTTTATGACTTTCATCTCTACTCACAAGGAAAAACAGAATAACTCACCATTGGTGATGAAACTCATCAAATCTCTGCACTGTCAATAGAGTATCAGGGCTGATCATGTGTACCACTTGAAATTACATATACACACTTATATAATGCAAAAATATCCTTTACAAAATACATGTCAATAGCAAGGGAGACCTAACTAAACAGGAATCTTTTTACTGTTTTACTGACTTGCATAACAACAGTAAATAAAAATATTCCATTGGACCAATCTTAAAGTAACACAGAACGAAAGTGCTACAAGACACCATCCATTCTGCTGCCTGTGTTCATCGGTACGGATTTTTGACACCATCAGCAGTGTTTCGAAATTCTGCTGCTGCTGAGATACTCCATTATTACGAACCCAACAACACTGTGATTCTCCCTCTCCTGTGTTAATTTTTACATGCCACTCAGTTCAGGCAGTATAGAACAACTTAAAAAATAAGAAATATTATAGTGAAGTACAACAAAAACATGGCAGATTAAAAAGTTTTGGTAACAAAATATATTAATATATTTACAAAAGTACAAAATGAATGCCCCTCTGAGATGATCCACACTCCTGGACAGATTTGTAACTTCCCTGGTCTTAAATTACTTTTTTTCAGGCTACGAAGGAAGAAGAACAGATCACGGTTAAACTGATAAGAGAACTGTTCTGGAAAAATTTAAAACTACATAAAAATTCTGTGTGGCACGCTGCTATTTTGATTAAGGATTACTTCACTTATTAGTTTCATAAGTGATGGTTCCTTTAATACCAGAATTGAGAACAAAGCCTGAAGTGACATTAATGACACACAATGCCCAGTCTATTTTTCAGCTCACACTTACACCTAGCAGTTCAAGAGTCTAATAAATATTCTTACGAGTATTTCCTTGTCAGTATAGAGCAGACAAACATTATCAACAAAATACAAACATGACAGGGTGAAAAGTAACAATCCAGCACCCTCGGGGCAATAACAGTGTCAAACCCAGATGATGACATTTTTTCTTAAAAGCCAAGAATCCCCATATCTCATTTCTTAGCTCAATTAAACATGTTTATTTGCAACATCAATATTTTCGTTCAAAATGGACCAAGCTGCACTCTGTAGACCGACAGCAACCTGCGTAATGACATCTATCCAAAAAGTGATGACTTTTGCTACGTGAGTCAGTCCCTGTGTACCCCCACATGCCCTGCACACCCCCAAACATTTCCACTGCACCCACCAGCCAGCCACAACCTACACGTTGCCATGACGGGACCTTCTGTTCAGAGGCTGCCAAGGTGCCCCAACGGATGGCCAGTATGTACAGAAAACATAGCATTATTTAAATAATCATTGCTTACTTCTCAGACCTACTTTCAATAAGCAATAAATGACAAAACTTCAATTAGGATCAGCCTAGAATTCAACAGTGAACTTCAAACCTAGTATTTGTAAGCAGAAATGTCTTCATCCTTGCTTTCATTCAGTTCTCAAATATATTTCCTAAAGGCATCCATCTAGTCACCCTTTTAAATAAAATTGTTGATAGCATTCATAGTACTTTGTTCTCAGGGACTCAGAATATTTTATAACAATCAAAGTACCAGTTATATTTATTCTATCATTAATATACTTGCAGCTATACTTGATACCAATGTATTGCACCTGCCTGAACAGAGGATGTAAAACCAATCAAAAACCAGTTTTAATCATGCCACCCTGACTTTTTTTTTTTTTTTTTAACAGCTGTTTACAAAGAGGGAGGAGGGACGAGTCTTTAAGCCCCCGATATCCTAAGGGATACTTCAGTAAACAGATTTTTCAGAATGGTGCTGAGGCTGAGTGAGACTACAGATCTTTCCAATGTTTAATTGTTTACTTCTGCATATGAAAAATACAGCACAAGTTATTATTAATTTGGTAGCAAGCCAAATAAAAATTAGGGAAGCTACAAAACTACAGTGTTTGATGTGTACTCCATATGCAGGATTGCATTAAAAGAGAATTGTTAAAATTCAAAAGCACAAGCCAGATCAAGGTTGCTCTCTCTCTTCTGCCATGAAGATCCAGTATTAGCAAACAAAATGACGCCCTCAGCAACTGAAGCAATCCTGGAACATTTATTTTTATTGTGGCATCCAGTTTGTGTGAATCCAGGTGCAGAAAGCTTAAGAACAACTTGCATGCTTGTTCTCCTCATTTTGCATGCTGTGACGGCTGGTTCAGGCACCTTGCATTTGACTGGCCCGGTGCCAAACCACAAGAGAATGGAAAGATCTGAACATTCGCCGGCAGCCTTGAACAATGTGGAGTCTTTACACTTTCAATAACAAAGATTTTCCTTTCCTATATTTTAAGTACAAACTTACCTCTCTCAATACAGGATCCGTTATTGAACTTAAATTAACAGCTCCTTCGTAAGTCAAATAGTAGAACACGTTCAGGGACCTGACAGCCTCCGGCCCTTGCTGTTTGTAGCCAAAAATCAGATCAATCCACTGGTGAAGCTGGCAGGAAACAAACTCACTTTCCAATGCCTGTAAAAAAAAAACGCACACAAAATATATAAACTCGAGTTTGCCAGATAGTCATCACTTAGTAGCAGTAGAAATACTTTTTGAATGGTGTACAAAATTATCTTAACCAGCCTAAGTACAGAATCGATAATGGTATTTTAGACATGCTACCCAAAAAAAAAGGTCACAAGACCTTGATTTTTAAACTATAATAATGGGAATAAAAAAAAATCAGCAAGTAGAAAGCATTCATGCTGTTATGGACAAGCCAGCTATGTTTTTGTGAACTCTTGAGATGAAATTGTGCTTTTCTGTGTGATCTGTGCGGGGAATAATAACAGCACGATAATCCGATTCTGACACACGGATAGAAAACGGATAGATTTGGGGAAACTGAACTAACTGGGGAAGTTGGGGTACAAATTATTGAACACGCTGGACTATCAACTTGCTATTGCTTTTCTGCATTTCTTGTAGATATCTTCTATACAAATCTATACAGAAACAGGACCAGGCTGAATGATTAAGCCAGACTTCTGAAGATGTTATCCAGTTACAATCCGATCCCCAAGACAAAAGCATCCAAACAATAATGAATCTCTCCATAACGGTATTAGATACAGCACAAGAACATGAAATGATAATGTAAAAATCACTGTCACCTAAAGAGTTAATTCCTCTGGATGAAATCACTAGCAGGATTTGCTTCCTCTGTTTTATACAGAGGATTCAATATATTTCTTATTTGAATGAGCAGATGAAACAGCGTAACAAAGTCTGGTATTCTCTTCATCTAACAAAACTAATGGCATTCTCCTTGCAAAGGAAATTCCTAATTTTGAGCAGAGGAAGTGAAAATTAATCTGAAAACTGAGGAAATCACTCTGCAATTTGCACACCAAAATGATGGGTTTGTTTCATTAACCGGTGCCTGAGAACAACATTTAAATTGACACATAAAACCAGCAATTGTCTTAATTTGTGTGGTGCACTCCACACAAAAGCCCTAAATATGTTCAAATTAGAGCAAGCTGCTTGATTGTCACTGCAGTCTCATGTCATATTAATGCATGACAAACATTAAACCATACACTTAAATGGCAATTTATATCATTTAAATGTTTACTGCCACACCAGATCATCACTCATTTAAATGTGACTTTCTGACAGCTAATTTCAGTTAATTTTCCTCGATTCACTTAATTAGAACTTTCAATCAAGAAAAGACCTGTGCATATCTTCGACATTGTATCATTCTTTTTTTATTCTTATTTTTAGGATTCCCAGCTACTGAATTGCTGAAAGCATTCTCTGAAATGAATTACCACGCAGTATAGTGTCTCTCTCGATGATCATATGGAAATACCTTACAACACACATGCTTAGACAGGATTTTTTCTTGCTTACTTTTTGCCTTTTTTTTTTTTAAATTAAAAAAAACCAAACTCTTAGACACAGACATACAATTAAAACTATAAAAAACCACACGCAGTCCAATTAAAAATTAATGATTTCAAAATTGTTTAATAAGATAAAACCAGTCAGGAGTCTCATGAGTGTCGATAATACTACAATGCGCAGCCATAAAATTCCACAGGGCTCAGCAAATGACAAAGATAGGAATTAATTTTCTTGCTATTCTGATTTAAAAAAAAATTAACCCTAGATTATACTTACTGTTATCATTACAACTTTTTCATGTCAGGAAAAAGAGCGTTAAGGACTTGGGACTTTATAAATACATATATATATATGTAGTATGAGCAGACATTGTTCATACTTTCCTTTTCCTCCAAGGCTAGATTTGTAATGGGTGATATTACCCTCACAAAGCACTTGGACATGAATAACTGAAGGAATATCCCTCTGCAGTCTCCTCAGATTAACAGGTATAGAAATCTGACTTTTTCTTTAAAAATCAAAAGCTAAACGATACGTTTTGCCTTTCCATGGAACGGCTGGGAGCCATCCCGAATTTACTTCTCTTTTTCAAGTTCAAAATTCTTTTACACTTGTAATTTATACAGATTCAAAATTAGATAATTTTCTTTTATTATTCCCCCCCCCAACAGGCCATTTTAAATCTTCTTTTGTATTTGTCAAGTGACAAATACAAGGGCTAAAGGAAAACTGACTACAGTCAGCATCAATACTCAGAACACAGAAGGCCAGACCGAATCCAGCACACAAATTCAAATGATAAAGAAGCTTGCGTGGTTCACAGTTAAGCTCCTGGACGGAGGGAAGTGTTTATGCTATGACACCATCCATGGAGAAACAACAGTTAACAGACTGCACAATGATTAAAAAATAGATTTCCAAGGAATACAACACAATGTACCAGTATGTGCCAGGCACTTCACAGCCATGCTGCTATATACTATTTAGGTTCTGGCACTGCTTAGGAAAAAAAAATAATAATCCGAGAAGTGAGAAAGTTCCAATTTTTCTAACTTCGGTTTTAAAAAGGAGGTTTTTTGTTTTTTTCTTTTTTTAAAAAGTTACTGAAACCACGGGTATCGAATGCAAAGCATTTAGGATTGCTTAAGCACCTAGGGCAGGCAGTGCTCATTAAGGCTGGAGTTAAATACCGCACGCAGCGATGGGATGCTCACATCCTTCCCATGCTGCTCTTAAAGCAAACCAATCAATTGTTAGCGCTCCCACAGCACACCCGGTGCATCATTTACCCTGTGCTCCAAGGAAAAGGCGCAAACCAAGAAGATCCTCTACAGTGTCCAGCGTGCTACAGAAATCCTCAATCCTATTGAGCTATTGTAAAATAAATCAGTGCCTAATGCCCAATTGTTAGGGATCAAACAAGCCCATGCAAAGCCCGTCACGTGAAGCCACACACAAATTGTCAATTCTGTCCACGGGGACTCATATTAACTTTGACAAACTGTCTTGGGGCTGATATCTGTTTCTTTAATGAGATCTATTAGGCAGAGACTGAAACACTTGAGATATGCTAAAAAGTACAGTATACAGATGTCAAACACAAACACCTATTAGTAACCTTCAGGTCTCCATTCCCAAGGTAGAAACGCTTTAAACACATCAACAAATTGAAGCTTTCATCTTACAAGGACATTTTAGTTTATTCATAACTATTTTTTCAAACGCACAATCTGATGTCACTGAATCCATGCAACCCAGACTACTTCTTCAAGAACGACTCTGAAACTCATTATTTTATGTGCCTCTTTTTCTGCCGTGTTTTCCAAAAGGAATGAACGGAGAATAATTTCCTGCTGGCAACCGAAAACTACCACCTAACACCGACGCAAATGATTTGGTAAAGCATGGTCAGAACAACAAAACCAAACATCTAGCAGGTTAGAAAAGATTTTTCCTTTTTCTAGTATAAATGCTCTAACCATCTATTATGATATATTTTTCCAAACAATATTATAACCTTGCAATCAAGATTTGTATCTTTAAACTAACTACTATTGGCTTTTACCCCCTACTCTTCTTTCTGGTTTAGATTATGTAATGACATACAACACACGAAATGATGTTTATTAAAAATAAATATATACTGTGCTTGAGATTGGGATGTTCCAATGCTGAAATTAGCTGAAAAGACTAAGCGTATTTCTTTTCAGCAGCATAGATTTTTATTCATAATCAAGCTATTCAGAAATATAAGACCATGGACTTGCTTGCCTTATTCTTAACGCTGATTAAAGTAATCTTGAAGCACAGCATAAAGCATGCATGTAACGCTGATTTGAAAGACAGAAAAGAGGTCCAACCTATACAAAATGTGTTTCATATAGGTAAAATCAAAGTAGAAACTTTGACAAGAAACCAAAACTGTTTCTCATACATGAATAATCTTTCCTATTCATTCAGTTTAAAAAAAAATACCCAGGAATATACTACATCGGCAAGTAAGAAATTACAGCTCTCGAGTACAAATAATTGGCTATTACATTTAATGGGCTAAATATTTAGATTCCTCTTTGAAGTAAGGAATTTCCTTTGAAACACTTAAAATAATTGCGTCTCTTTTTTTATGTTTCATTTGAAAAATATTTAGGTACGAACAGGAAAAAATGAATTAGGATCTCACACATTTTTAGCAGAAACACAATTTCCATGTGAAAAATACTCTTCTTGAACATGCCAAAGCAGCCGCGTAACTGCCGGAGCAGGTAACTGCTTTAAACTACCGATGTATTCTGGCTTGGGCGTATGTGTGTGCACGTACATTTAAAAAAACCCCAAACCCAACCAAACCAAACAACTGGAATTCTGTTTGCATGTGCAGGCTTTCAGACACTGGCTGGTAATGCTGCCTGAACATTGATATACGACCTCGGTAAGTTACAATGAAGAAGGCTGGGGTTTTCAGCCTAATTAGAACTGTTTCAAATTTTCCTGCTCAATATATGATAGAAAGTCCTTTCAACTTTTTTTCTTTCTTATTCTAGAGTTTCTTTCCACGTCAACTTTGTTCCAATCAAAATATGTTTTGAATTAAATGATTTTGATTCAATATGCGGATCGCATTTCACTTCCAAGATTTAAAGTCCAAAAAGGAAAAGTTTAGGCTGTTCAAACAAAGCAAAAGCGGCCACTTTGCGGAAAGCTAGTCACATTTACCAAGACTGACAAATTGTTTGTGTGCACCATTAGGTCTAGTTTCTGCAATAGTTGCCAGATTTCCTGTCCTCCTAATAACACATTAACTCTTCAAGTGCTGGCTTTATCTTTGGAGCTTTCTCAGTAGCCGCTACTATTTAAAAGTAAATTACCAAACACACTTTCACCAGCAACACTATTTGATCACATGGGTGGGCATCTGAGAAAAAAAGAAGTATAAAAAGCTATTACAAAGATATTGAATTCAAGCCTGCCTTGAAGACATCAGGAGGAGGAAGAAGAGGACCGCAGCCGTACCGAGGAGAAAGCTCTGAGTTCTGCCCGAGGTAATATAAATCTCCGAAGGACGGAACGGACAGCAAAACTGTTCACATGAGCAGTGTTCACATTATTTCTAACTTGCTAAA